ACCTAAACTACTCCATAAGAAATCAAATATTCAACCCTCCATTTCTTCATTTGCTACCCCTTCTCTAATAGAATGTTTATTTAAAAAAGAAAACAATCCAAAAATTAGGGACACCCTTCACGAACAATCCATGGCTTTACCAAATGCTTTGTATCACCGCCAATACAACAACAACAGCAACAGAAGCCAATTGAAACTTCAAATAAATCCTTTATTTATACGTATTGTCCCGAATGAATAAGGATATTATCTTCAAATGCAAAGAAAATCAACAAAACTCCAAAAGCATTTCCGTTTGGTTGCTGTGGGATTCACTTTACAAAGCCAAAAGAAATGCCAACTGCGTGGAATAACAAAAAAATCGACCCAAAGGGATATTCTCCAAATATTGGTATTTATGTGGGGTTTTATGTTTACGTAATCCTTAAGGAGTTAACTATGTGATTTGATGATCATGGAAACAAATATGTACAAACGCATTTTTTTCAAAGATTATTATTAACATCTCTATTCGTTTTGAAGGGAAACAAAGAGGGGAAAAATAGAAAATAATAACAGCTATGGTATGCTATGAAAATGTATTCTTTAAAATATCAATTGGAAAAAAATCTTTAAAATCCTTCTTTATAAATCGGAGGGTGCATCGTGTTCACAATTTGCAGATTTATTAAAAAAAAACGTATGCATATAAAAACAAGTAAGCAAAGGCTATAGTCGTGCGGAGCCGACAATGTGATACCCTACAACACTACAATATGTTAGAAGCACCCTTATATCAAGATCGATTTTGGAAGATTTCATTTTTAAAATTAAGTCACGGAGCACTGACGTGACCAGGGACATTTGCCCAATATATAAACACTCTGTCATGCTGTTAGTTGTTGTGGTCCATTTTGATATCTATATGATATGCTTGTCACGATATTTGGCTGTATTCGTCAACGAAATCAGCATAAAAATGCCAGAAAGTTCAGCTTTCGTGTATTTTGGATATCGCCTGTAAGCAATGCTGGTATTTATTCACACAAAAGTAGTGGTCCATTCTATTCGCTGTCCTAAACTCTAACTTCATGCGAGATTTAGTGTCCTTTGGTTTATATTGGTGACCTTTATAACGGCTGCAAAATCAGCAAAATTTTTAGTTGTTGGTCCATTTCAACCCCCAAATATATTGCGGATATCTTTAAAGGCAATAGGCCTATCCCTTCTGAGTCTGACCCTACGCTTCTGAAAATTTTCGTGAGGATCGGATAGTAATTACAACCTGTATATAATCCCAACCTGTGTTGTAAGGTGAAAAAATATTACAAAATCTACACTTCAATATTATAAGTCAAATTGAAAAAATCGCATGCGATAAAAAAATATGAAAAAATAAAAAAAATGTCACAAAATACTACAAAACCTATATTAACATCATTATTGGTATCTTTTTATGCGATTTTTTTAGATTTTATAATTTTATGCCAAAAGGGCATTTTAAATTTACAAAATTTGCCAAAATCGCTGCAGCCACTCTTTTTGAGATATAAGCATTCAAGCAAACATCCCCTTCCCTTGAATATACATATTGTATATATTTCGCTATATATCCGATATTTTTAGTATCGGCATCTACGTAACGGTCAGGATTGACCTGTTCGTTATTTGTGATTTCGCCGGCATTAAAAATATTCGCGGTTTAATGGAAAATTTAACTTTTATTTATCACAAATGCTATGGTCTATTTCAACCACTAAATGTTACCCGATGACCATCAAAATTGGAAGGCTTCTGGTCAGCCCAAAGCTCTAGCCCCATGCTAACTTTCGTTTCGATTGGTCTATAATTGTGAGCTGTAGAGCAACTGCAAAATCAGGAAATTTTTCAGTTTTTGGTCCATTTCAACCCCTTAATATTGTGCGATCATCTCCAAAAGAAATAGGGTTCTATTCTGACCTTAACCCCACCTACATTTTAAATTTCGTGAAGATCGGGCCATAATTGCAACCTGTAGAGTGATTACAAATTAACATGGACAGACGGACAGAGGGAAGGACGGACATACATAGCTAGATCGAATCAGCTCGGCGAGCTAGGAAGATCCATATATACTTTCCTATGTGGGAAATCAATATTTCGTGGTGTTACATAATTTTTGGCCCAATCAAACTTATAATACCCCCAACACATAGTGTTGTAGGGTATAACAAATTCATAACAATGGGAGCCCACATTCTACATTCATATCTTTAAAAGTATTGGGAAAAAAATCCTTGAAAAATCCACATTCATATCTTTAAAAGTCTTGGAAAATAAATCTTTGAGTATCCTGAAAAGTATACCTTTTAACACCTATTGTTCTTGAAAAATATATATAAAAATATAAATATGTCCTTGAAATTTATCCAGGTATATCACTTTGAGAGTTTTTAAAAAATGTTCTTAAAAAGTTCCACGTTCATAATTTTGAGTGTCCTTGAAAAAATAGTCTTGAAAATCCATATTCATAACTCGGAAAAAGTTATTGAATAATATCCTTGAAATCCTCGGCGATAACTAAATTACTCATTAAAAATGTTCTTGAAACATTAAGTTTCATATAGGATTACGAGTTCACAACAAACCCCTTATTAAATACAGGTTAATAACTTCGAGAGTCCTTGAACAAAATCTTAAAAAATAGAAGCTCACAAATGTTATTTGTTTTTTCAACAATACTAGACTTTAAAAAAAATAAATTTACAACTCTGAAAGAATTTTCAAAAAAGGATCCTTGAAAGAAATATTTTTAAAACAAAACGTCCATACCCTGATAATCCTTTAATACACGCTATGGCCTGGTAGGTCCCTGAAAAAATAATCTTACAAAAAAAGTACTTAAAAAATCAGCACATGGCATTGCAGGTCCTTGAAAAAAGTCTCGCTTTGGCTCTGAAGATTCACTACATGGATCAGAGGGTTCTTGTAAATTCATATTATGGCTTTGAAAAATTGTTGAAAATATAATTTAAGAACTAATGTTGGTGGCTCTGATGATCCCTAAAAATATCCTCAAATTCAACGTTTTGGCTCCAGAGGTCCATAAAAAACCAACATATGGCTTTGAGGATCCTTAAAAATAATTCTTCAAAATCCACTTTATAACTCTGAAGATAATTAAAATTAGATGTTAAGAGAATACACGGTGATTACTCTGGCAACACTTGAAGTTCCTTCAAAAAAATATATGGCTCTGAAGGTCCAAGAAAATATGTTCGAAAAATCCATGTTATGGCTTCGAAGGTCCTTGTTTATATTTTTAAAAACTCCACCTTTATATTTTGAAGGTCCTTGATAATATATGTTTAACAAATAAACGTTTATAGTTTTGAAGGTCCTTGATAATATATGTTTAACAAATAAACGTTTATAGTTTTGAAGGTCCTTGATAATATATGTTTAACAAATAAACGTTTATAGTTTTGAATGTCCTTGAAACTATATGTTTAAAAAATCCACGTTTATAGCTCTGAAGGTCCTTGAAAATATATAATTAAAAAATCCACGTTTATAGCTCTGAAGGTCCTTGAAAATATATGTTTAAAAAATCCACGTTTATAGATCTGAAGGTCCTTAAAAATATATGTTTAAAAAATCCACTTTATAGCTCTGGAGGTGCTTGAAAATATATGTTTAAAAAATCCACGTTTATAGCTCTGGAGGTTCTTGAAAATATATAATTAAAAAATCCACGTTTATAGCTCTGAAGGTCCTTGAAAATATATGTTTAAAAAATCCACGTTTATAGCTCTGAAGGTCCTTGAAAATATATGTTTAAAAAATCCACGTTTATAGCTCTGAAGGTCATTGAAAATATATGTTTAAAAAATCCACGTTTATAGCTCTGAAGGTCCTTGAAAATATATGTTTAAAAAATCCACGTTTATAGCTCTGAAGGTCCTTGAAAATATATGTTTATAGCTCTGAAGATCTTTAAAAATATATGTTAAAAACTCCATGTTTAAAGCTCTCAAGGTCCTTGAAAATATGTGTTTAAAAATCCACGTTTATAGCTCTTACTGTCCTTGTAAACAAGGTCCTTGATAAGATATGATTTAACAAATCTGCGTTTATAGCACTGAAGATCCTTGAAAATATGTGTTTAAAAATCCAAGTTAAGGCTTTTAAAGTCTTTGGAAAATATCCTTAAAAGTCCACGTTATGGATTTTAAGTTCCATGAAACATCTTCCTTAAAAGTCTACTGTAAGACTCTGAAAGTGTTCCTCATGGATCGGAGGGTCCCAGAAAAAGTCCTTTAAAAATATACGAATGCCTCCAAACCTTCTTAAATTTCTTTTCTTTAAAAAATCAATATGCGGCTTTGAGGGTCCTTCAAAATATCCTGTAAAATTCTCATTTTGACTTTGAAGGTCCTGGAAAAAATATTCCGTAAAAATTCTACGTCTGATTTTCTTAAATGAATGTCTTTACAAATCGACATTTTTAGCGAATTAGTCTTAAAAATATTCTACGTTCTTTGGTCCTTGAAAAATATTTGTCAACGAATCCTTTTTTTTTTTTCATCCTTAAAAGTAACGTTTGTGGCTTTGAGAGTCCTTGAATGAAGTATTCCTTAGAAATTAATTGTGTAATAATGCCTCCTTCCTATGTGAATACACGTTTTGTAAATTTCTTATGGACATAATTTTACTAAATAAAATTTCGTGGAACTCTTCTACATTTCTTTCAGCCAAATCCCTTGGCCCTTTTCAAAAAAATATATAAATATGAAAAAGCTCCAATAACATAAATCATCTTTTGTCCATAATAAATTATCAAGAAAAAAACTTGTTTGTCATTCTTATGTCATGCTATTCAAAATTATTTTTTTCAATAAAAAATATGCCCTTTTTATCCTTTTTCGCAAATTTTTTTTCACAACAGATAAGAATATTCCACACAAAAAAGGATATGAAATATGAATAATATACAATTTAATTAAAAGTGGAAAAAAATCAGCAGCACAATGAGTACTTACCAAAAATGTCCTTTCAGTGGAATTGTAAACACAATGAAAATCTGTAACGGTTTTTGAATCTGAAAAGAGGCGAAAAAGTTGAAGACGAAGAAGGTAAGATGAGAAAAACATGATGAAATTAAGTAGCTTGTGATATTCTTTAATTGGCTTCAGTGGCTTCGAAGGAAACCTTAAGTTCGTACTTATAATGCTGTGTTGTAAGGGGTTAATAAGCTATGAGTGTCAAAGGAAAAGGGAAATTTTTAAAATTTGAAATTTTTAAAATTTGAAAATCATGAAAGTGTACTTACGTAAGCAGTTCCGACCGGTCATTGTAAGATAATTTTAAGGATCTTTTTCGATCCAATCATTTTTTCCCGAAAAGAAAGTTAGCTTTCAACGCATATCCTTATGTTTATCCTTTCCCCCCACACATTGACATGAAATCCACATGAAAATTTTCTCAATCTCAATTTTTATCTATTTTCCTCTGGCAAATAAAACAATTTAAACATATTCTCTACATTGGCCCGATTAAATGGTATTAACACATTATGTCCTTAATTTTTGGCAACTTTAAAGTTTGTAATTAAGTTTTAGGACCAGACGCCGCCGCTTTCCCATTCAACACTTAACATTTAAGTTAATGGCATTGTATAGGTCTTTCCTTCGTTTTGGTCTATTTCCCTCCACTCTCTCTCTCTCTCTCTCTGTTTCTCTCTCTGCTCTTCCCTTTAATCTCTAAATCTGTCTGCTAAACCATTAAAAGAACAAAGTTAATTATTGGCTCTGGACAACTACAGAGACAGCCAACATAGAAACTACATGAACCAACAACAACAACAAAAACCATTGAGAAAGGATTTCAAATAACTTTGTCTTTCTCCTGCCAATGGATTTGATTGTAGCCACAAGAGTTTTAAAGCAGAAAAATGTGTTATCTTTTTAATCGGAGGCACAACCTCAAATACTATGTTGCCAATGCTTTGCAGTTGGTAGTAGGGTTGCTGTTTTGGGAGAATATTTTTAATATAATTTTTCAAGGATCAAAGAATCAACATTTCACGAAAAAGTATTTTTTCCAGGATCCTTCCAGAAACTGAATTTTCCTATGCCCCAACTATCATCCAACGTGGATTTGTTAAACTTTTTTTTCAAGGACCTTCAGAGCCATAAACTTTGATTTTAAACATATTTTTTCAAGGACCTTCAGAACAATAAAAGTGAATTTTTATAAATATTTTTTTAATGGCCTTCGGAGCCATAAACGTGGATTTTTTATACAATTTTTTTCAAGGACCTTCAGAGCCATAAACTTTGATTTTAAACATATTTTTTCAAGTAGCTTCAGAACAATAACCGTGTATTTTTATAAATATTTTTCCAATGGCCTTCGGAGCCATAAACGTGGTTTTTTTACACAATTTTTTTCAAGGACCTTCAGAGCTATAAATATTTTAGCATATTTTTTCAAGGACCTTCAGAACCATAAACGTGGATTTTTTATAAATATTTTTTTAGTGGCCTTCAGAACCATAAACGTGGATTGTTTATAAATATTTTTTCAATGGCCTTCAGAGCCATAAACGTAGATTTTTTAAACAAATTTTTACAAAGACCTTCAGAGCCATAAACGTGGATTTTTTAAACCATTTTTATTTTCAAGGACCTTCAGAGCCCTAAACGTGGATTTTTTAAACCATTTTTATTTTCAAGGACCTTCAGAGCCATAAACGTGAATTTTTTAAACCATTTTTATTTTCAAGAACCTTCAGAGCCATAAACGTGGACTTTTTAAACCATTTTTATTTTCAAGGACCTTCAGAGCCATAAACGTGGATTTTTTTAATAATTTTTATTTTCAAGGACCTTCAGAGCCATAAACGTGGATTTTTTAAACAATTTTTATTTTCAAGGACCTTCAGAGCCAAAAACGTGGATTTTTTAAACCATTTTTATTTTCAAGGACCTTCAGAGCCATAAACGTGGATTTTTTAAAGCATTTTTATTTCAAAGACCTTCAGAACCATAAACGTGGATTTTTTAAAGAATATTTATTTCAAAGACCTTCAGAACCATAAACGTGGATTTTTTAAAGAATATTTATTTCAAGGACCTTCAGAGCCATAAACGTGGATTTTTTAAACCATTTTTATTTTCAAGGACCTTTAGAGCCATAAACGTGGATTTTTTAAACCATTTTTATTTTCAAGGACTTTCAGAGCCATAATCTTGGAATTTTTAAACAAATTTTTTCAAGGACCTTCAGAGCCATAAACGTGGATTTTTTAAACCATTTTTATTTTCAAGGACCTTCAGAGCCAAAAACGTGGATTTTTTAAACCATTTTTATTTTCAAGGACCTTCAGAGCCATAAATGTGGATTTTTTAAACCATTTTTATTTTCAAGGACCTTTAGAGCCAAAAACGTGGATTTTTTAAACCATTTTTATTTTCAAGGACCTTCAGAGCCATAAATGTGGATTTTTTAAACCATTTTTATTTTCAAGGACCTTCAGAGCCATAAACGTGGATTTTTTAAACCATTTTTATTTTCAAGGACCTTCAGAGCCATAAACGTGGATTTTTTAAACCATTTTTACTTTCAAGGACCTTCAGAGCCAAAAACGTGGATTTTTTAAACCATTTTTATTTTCAAGGACCTTCAGAGCCATAAACGTGGATTTTTTAAACCATTTTTATTTTCAAGGACCTTCAGAGCCATAAACGTGGATTTTTTAAACCATTTTTATTTTCAAGGACCTTCAGAGCCAAAAACGTGGATTTTTTAAACCATTTTTATTTTCAAGGACCTTCAGAGCCATAAATGTGGATTTTTTAAACCATTTTTATTTTCAAGGACCTTTAGAGCCAAAAACGTGGATTTTTTAAACCATTTTTATTTTCAAGGACCTTCAGAGCCATAAATGTGGATTTTTTAAACCATTTTTATTTTCAAGGACCTTTAGAGCCATAAAAGTGGATTTTTTAAACCATTTTTATTTTCAAGGACCTTCAGAGCCAAAAACGTGGATTTTTTAAACCATTTTTATTTTCAAGGACCTTCAGAGCCATAAACGTGAATTTTTTAAACCCTTTTTATTTTCAAGGACCTTCAGAGCCATAAACGTGGATTTTTTAAACAATTTTTATTTTCAAGGACCTTCAGAGCCGTTTTTATTTTCAAGGACCTTCAGAGCCGTTAAACGTGGATTTTTTAAACAATTTTTATTTTCAAGGACCTTCAGAGCCAAAAACGTGGATTTTTTAAACCATTTTTATTTTCAAGGACCTTCAGAGCCATAAACGTGGATTTTTTAAACCATTTTTATTTTCAAGGACTTTCAGAGCCATAATCTTGGAATTTTTAAACAAATTTTTTCAAGGACCTTCAGGGCCTTAAACGTGAATTTTTTAAACCATTTTTATTTTCAAGGACCTTCATTATTTAAGCTTATTTTGCAAGGGCCTTCAGAGCCATACATGTGGATTTTTCAAACAAATTTTTTCACAGCCCTGAACATGGATTTTTTGAATAAATTTTTGAAGGACCTTCAGAGGAATAAGCTTGCATTTTTTAAATAAAATTTTTTTAAAAGGACCTTTAGAGAAATAAACTTGGGTTGATTAAACAAAATTTTTCAAGGACCTTCAGAGGCATAATCTTGAATTTTTTTAACAAGGACCTTCATAGCAATAGACGTGATTATTTAAGCTTATTTTGCAAGGGCCTTTGTTTTTAAACAAATTTTTTCACAGCCCTGAACCTGGATTTTTTGAATAAACTTTTTGAAGGACCTTCAGAGGAATAAGCTTGCATTTTTTAAATAATTTTTTTAAAGGACTTTTAGAGGAATAAACTTGGGTTGATTAAACAAATTTTTTCAAGGACCTTCAGAGCCATAAACGTGGACTTCTTAAATGTATTTTATCAAGGTCCTTCAGGACCATAAACGTGGATTTTCTAAACAAATTTCTTATTGCTCCTTCACACCCTAAAACTTGAATTTTTTAAACAAAATTTCCAATGACCTTTAAAGGTACAAACGTGAATTTTTTAAACAAATGTTTTTCAAGGACATTTAGTATCATAAACATGGATTTTTAACGAAGTTTTACTAGGACGATTTGTCAATCTAGATTTATTATTATATTGTGGCTCTTTTTTACTTTTTTGTTTTTAATTATTCGTTTGATTTTCTTTTTTTTTTTTTGTTTGAATGGCAACCCTGTTACGTAAAACTTAATTTGCTGTTGTTCTAACCAAAGACTTGAATAAATATCATTAGGTTTTATTTTCCAAGGGGTTTTGTTGGCTTGCAAACTTTGTGCAAATCCTTTTAGCCAGAGGCAATTTCCGTGGCGAAAAATTCATTAACAGTCCTTTCAATTGCCATTAGTTAACCTTTAACTGAGACGCAATACGATTTTGGATGGTTAATGAATAACAATATTCATAATTAGATAAATAAAAATTGATTGTTTTGTAATTCAATAAATGAGTAAATATTGCCAGCAGAAGAATCTTATAGCTGACGAAAGGAGATGGGGTTTGAAGATGGATTATGTTATCTTACTTGAAGAGGCTAAAACAATTTTGAAACTAAGGAAAGGAATTACAGCCATGAAACAAGATGTGTGGGATTTTTTACAAGGAACATAAGTTTGTTTTCAAGAAGATCTTCAGTCAAGCAAATATTCCCCCCTGAAGGGTGGTTAAGGGTTTCTTTACGAAAATTAAATGCCAGATTCCAAAGCTGGGAATTGTTCAACCGAAATCGTGTTTTACATGCTACTGATTGTGGGGACGTATTTCTATTTTTCTCCTACTTCAACCTGCCTTGTGATAGTTTACCTTTGGTTTTTCCTTTCGCTTCAAATATTTATGAGATAATTTCCTTAACGCCAGACCCTAATTAAATTCTTCTACGCCATAGTTACTTTCGTGCCGCCTTCCACAATGCCAGCCATTTGACTTCTCACAGAATATTTTTGTAATGACTTGTTTTATTTATGGACTTTCGCTTCCGTTTTCAATTTTGCCCACATCCCTAAAAGGCAACGAAGCAGCCATTATGAG